CTGCGGGCCACCAAAATTTTCTCACGGACCACTAGTGGTCCCTGGACCACTGGTTGGTGATCTCAAGACTAAAAGAGCTTCAAGGTCCCTTCTCTTATTCTGTTAAAATAAGAGGAAACTCCACTTCTCACTAGCTTTGATGATATCTAGTTTTGAGTAATGATAATGCCAAGCTCAGAGAGCATCACGGACACCCCACACCCCATAGAATCCATGCCTTTATAAGTTACACCTCCCAATTCAACATCTTTGTCCCAAGAGACGTTGTCAATGATGACTTTACTGAGGGATATGCATCATTATTTCTCTTAGTAAATCCAGGCCCGGGACAAGGGAGATATCATACTGATCTGAGTGCCTATATCCTAATTATTCTAAAAAGTGAGATTACATCAAGAGATGCTGTTGAGAAGTTAAAACAAATAGCTATTCTCAACTTTTTTAGAGAAATTGTTTCTCATTAATTTCTATAAACTTCTCAATATCCCTCAAACATATACTGGTGAAATTTGGGGAAAAGAAGAACATTACATCAATGCACTTGAATTATGCTTTCCCACTTGCTCATATTGTACCTGAAGGGATTTCAATGCCAGACTAGGCTCAAATGATAATCAGCTATTTGCCAAAGTTCCACCAAATTTGCAGACTATCTCTCCCCACACTTCCAATTATAAACTCTAAAGTTCTCATTGGACATCAGATATACGTACGTTTGACCATTTCCAGACCCAAATCTGGAAGAAATTGAACTCTTCCTCAATTGACAAAATTATTTGAGCTTGAAAGTGCAATGCAATGCCCAAAGACATTGCACCAAATAAATTCCTATTAAGAGAGAAATGAGACAGCTATGTATTTTAGCTTTTCTTTTTAATATATATTAATTTCCTAATTGCCAAATTAAATAGTCAATTTCTTCATTTGCTAAAACTGGGAGAAACACAACTGTATTCTTTTGTATGCAAATAACACTATGTTGCTTTGTCAACACAGACTGGCTTGAACTAGGCGCTCCAAATATTAGCTGAGAGCTGCCAAAAACTTCTAATTACACTAAAACCAAGGTCACGGTCTTTGCTGAGCACGCATGTGTAGCCATAAATCTCATGCCCATTAGTCATTTGCACAAAAAGTGTTGGCTTTACAAACCCTTTATTTCTCCAAAGGACCTCAACATATACCTGCAGCAATTAAAAGTTCTTTCAGCTAAGATCCAAATTCAGTTCCATTTTGGAGCTCAATTGGGCCCCTATAGGTCATTCCTTTCTTTGGAAAAAACGAGTCCATGTTTTTGAGAAACATCATTAAAGCACCTTGCTGTGTTTCAAAGATGGTCCTGTGCTGTTAAACTGGTCTTCTTGAAATTGAGACTTCTGCCTGGATTTACATCTTCTACCGGCTTAAGCTCCTCTTCTTTCCAATTGATTTGCCCCCTTTTACTATGACTGACAGCTTTCAGTGTTCCTGGAGCCAGGCAATACATGCCAAATTGCAACTCTATGGGTATTTATGGTCAGCCATTATCTTGATGGGCTACAAACATGCTCTAGATCAGTAGCCCCCAATCTTTGCGGCTTGGCAGCCCAGTGGAGTGGGGGAGAGGGGAACTGGCCTGGGGAGCGTGGGGTTCAACTTGCATAAGTTAAGCTGCATGCCAGCCTGCTGCATGTGCAGCCCGATTATAAATAGGTTGTAGCCCAGGGCCAGCTATTTATTATAGCATATAAGAGCTATGATTTAAAGTTGCAAGCAGATTTTCCAAGTCTATCAATAAACATCTCGAGCCAGTCCGCACATTCTCTCCAACTGATTAAATATCTCAGTTGCCTAACAATCCTAAAATTCAGAAGGATTCTTTTTTTTAAGCCAGATTCAACACCTTCCCAACAGCTCTTACTGGAGGAAGATGCAAAAGTCAAAATCCTCTTCAGACAGAGACTGTGTCTATGTGGTGGAGAAATAGCTGCCTTAACAGAACATGCTATTCTCTACTGCCCTGTCAGGAATTATTATTTCCACTTTTTACAGTATGTAGCAACAGCACTTAGGCTTATATACTGCTTCATAGTGTTTTTACAGCCTTCTCTAAGCAGTTTACAGGGTCAGCATATTGCTCCCAACAATTTGGGTCCTCATTGTACCCACCTCGGAAGGATGGAAGGCTGAGTCAACCTTGAGCCTGGTGGGATTCAATCATTCCAATCTGTTTCATCACATGTTATTATCGGATCAATCTGATTTTATTTCTCTGACCACAATCAAATAGTTTCCTAGTTTGCATATATAGCTGTAGTATTAATTTCAAGCCCTCCAGACGCACATATATTCTTTTATTTTAATTAAATATGACTTTTGTATTCTATTTGCTGGTCTATGACCAAATAAATGATTGATTGATTTAATAGGCAAATTAAATCCATTTTAAATTCCACTATATTATGCCTAAACTAACATTATATCTCTCACAGCTGTCTGCTGATAGGAAATGAAAACCTCAAAATACGATTGAATTAAGTTGACTTCATATAAATCCAAAAATCTTTAGAAAGAATATATGCAACTAGTCCAGAAAAGTTAGTGTTCGTGTATTTTGCAATCAAATACAAAACCATATATTTATCCAAATTCACCCAACAGTGATAATTCATTGTGTCTGTAGCATATTTTAACTTTTATAATTGCTATTAGATAAATAAAGGTTGAGTTCAGGCACCTAAACTCTACAAACCACCTAAATTCTGTGGCAGGGAATAAGATTACCAACTGGGGTTAAAAAACAAAATAAGCAGAAGGGCTTCTTGTGATTCATGTCCAAACAAGTTTGCAGACTCACAGAAACAGAGGGATAAGAATTGAACTGAATGCCTTCCCGGTGGCTTCCGGCTTGAGCTTCTTCAGTGAAAGACCGAAACCTCGTCTCTGCGAGGCTTCGATCCGTGCTTGCCACTGGAGCGCCCCGAGCCGGCTGGCTTCGTGGCTAAGCCACCCCGTAGAGGGGGTGAAGAGGGGGGAGACTGCCTGCAGGGTTGAGGAGAGCCGCATCTCTCCTCCCCAGCTGGCCATTACTCCCTTTCCCAAAGGCGGTTGCAACGGTGGTCAGAAATGGCCACCACAAAGAAGAACTCAACCGGAAAAGAATGTGCAGGAGGAAGACAAGAGGAGAAAGTTTTGGTTGACCGGGTCAGCAAAAGCAACAAATAAGGTACCCTGGAATTGAAACTATTAAAAAACAATAACATTGTTCCCTAAGAAGACTTTTAAGCTGTGAAGGAGAGAGATAAGGGAAAAGATTTGTTTTTTTTCCCTCTTTTTCCTATACTGACAGCTAAGAGACTTAAGTAAGAAATTGGAAAAAAATCCACTTTGATATCAATAGGCATTTAATGCTGAAAATAAAAAGTCAAAGGGATAATAAAGATTTCTGGATAATTAAAAGCTTTTGAAAACAGGAAAGGAGAGAGGAAGAATAAAAGGGCAGGATCTGGAAAGGAGGAGACTGCCTGGAAAATCTCAACAAGATTTCCAAAAGATACATTCTAACTGAAATATCGCAACAAAAACCCCAGGAAGAGAAAATCGAAAAAGAAATAAGAAGATATAACTCGGGACTATCTGGATCACTTGATGATTTCTGGATTCTTGGTTATTGTTTTGAATGACTAAAATCAATCGGGTGGTTATTTAAAACGGCCCCACTTTTAGAAGAACTGAAAATGGAACTTAAAAAGTACAAAGAAGATGCACAAGAAGGGAGAGGTTCTTTTGGTTTCGTATTTCAGTTTTTAGAAATGGGGATTTGGAATTACGAGAAACAACAAGAAATGCCTGCAGAACAAGAAGATTGCGACAAAGAAGAAACCATCTTTAATGAACAAGTAATCTTAGATGGGGGGGAGAAGGAAAAGGGGAGGGGGGGAAAGAGAATGGAAAGTTTAAGATTGGGAAAAACAACTCCAAAAGAAAATAGAGTGAAAAATAAGTATAAAATCAGAAAGCAACAGAAGAGGGAAATGCAGAAGAGAGAATTAGAAATAGAGAGACAAGGGGGTAAAAAGGGGAGGGAGAAGATAAGAGGGAAGAAAGAAAGAAAGGAAAAGAAGTAATAAAGGACAGAAACAAAATACAGAGAAACAGCGCCTATTTAGGGTGAAAATTTAATGGAAAAAGGGATTCTGCAAAGGTACATAAGATAGTATGGCTATATTAGAAAGAGAAATAATTTTAGAAAATATGAAACAATGTATGATTAAATTTTCTGATAAAAAAAGCTATCGTTATTCAGTGGAATGCTTGTCAATAAATAAATGTAATAAAAGATATATTTAATGATTTATAAAACATATGTGAAGAGAAATAAGGGAAAAATTAATTATGGAGATTATATGTGTTTTAAGGAAGTATGATATTTAATTGAAAAGAAGTGTTAAAGATGTTAAGATTTTAATGAATATTAATGATAGAACTGAACTGGAACGGAATGAGGGTTTATAATTACATATATTTACAATCTTTTTTTTTTAAAGAATATGGTGTGCATTATAAGAATGTACCAAGCAGAATTGATTGGAAGTTATGCATTATGTATTATATTGAAGGTCATAACCTTAAGGTATATATTGAAGTTTAAATAAGAGTTGAATGGATGCAATTAAAAGATATAAAGGTGTCATACTTCAATTAGTAACTACAGGAAAAAAACTTGTTTAATGAGAAAAGATATTATAAAATTGAAACTACAGACAAAGTATAAATATAATGATTTGAATTGAGATGAGATAATCAAATTAAAACCGAGAAAATCAAAAGAGGGGAAAAACTATATAGAAAATGTAAAATAGTATAAGATATGGAATACAAAAAGGAGCATGAAATTGAGTTTTGTGTCTGTATAAAGTTCAAGCTGGGACCATGCTATTTTCAAAAAAGATGTTTTACTTGTATTTTGTATGTGTGAAAACCCAAATAAAACTTTATTTAAAAAAAGAAAAGAATTGAACTTAATCTACCAGGGTGATTGCAGCATCATCTTCAGGACCAGAGTACTTGAATGGTATTCGATGTCTTGTCATTGCTGAAAAATATTCTTTTGCTTCCTTTGAAGTGCTGGTACCCAAACCTAAGGAGATAGAGAATCTAAGTAAAAAACTTAGATAATATAATCATATTTCACTCAATGTGCAACTTTTATTTTTATTTAATTATAATTTTAGTTTTAAGGCTCTGGATGGCTTACAAATAGAAATTAAAAGAAAACAGAACAGATAAAAAGGACAAGAAACAAAATTCCAACCAGACTGCTTTCAACAGAAATTCATTTTCTTTGCATCAATGAAAACAGTACTTTATACTGTAATCAGATTTGGCATATAAACATTAAAAAGTATTCACAATTATTTACAAGTGCAACAGCAGAATCATTTGGTCTGAACTTATTCTGGATCCATCTAGACTCAAACAGGTAAAAAAAGACACCCATAAGCATTCTACAATTTGCTCCTCTTCGGATGTTGACTATAACTCACTGACTAGGTGAGTTAGATGTGAACAGGGGTGGGATTCTGTTGCAGTAAATTAAGAGAATCAGACTTCGGAATCAAAAGAGGTTGCTTTTATTTGCGCAAAAGTTCAGAGCAATAGAGCCAAACCAACATTTGAACCCCTCTTATGGAAAAGCAGATACTTATATACTCTTCAAAAGCAGCAAAACACGGAAATGTAACATATTAACATTGATTGGTTACATGATTTGAGTGACCGACAGATGAACCTGTGGTCTGACATTTTCCGTTCTTTTGTTCCTTAGAAGAATCAGGTCAATAGGTCTCTAAAAGCAATACATTTCTTCTCTATGTCCTGCCTCAATTCTACCGGTTCTATAGAACCTCTTGTTAACTTTCTAAGCAGTTAGAAGTAATCTCCTTTTGTTTTTTTCCCACCTTATTACATTCTTGGCAGACAGCCTAGTCTTACTGTCTCTAGAGCTTTGGGGAAAAAAAATAATTGAATAATGAAGCAAAGCTTTTAGTGACAGGGAACCATTCAGCAAGGCTTCTTGGCTAGCTAGAAAAATTGACATTCAAACGTGAGTTTACTTATTCTTTCTGAGTTTTGATCTAAAATTGGTTTTTGGTGAACTTTAATTCTGTGCTTATTGATGGGATAATTTTCCCTATTCAGCTTCAACAAGCAACGGCTACTGTTGTGATTTAATTATTTGTATTGTGTTTCTATTTTTTTCTGCCTCATGGTTTCTTTTTCTATCTGGGGAGGAGGTCTTCCTTATTGCTTTAGTACTATCTGGCACTGTCCTTTTGGGGTATATTTCCAAGAGGCCGGATGCAAACTTGGCATTGTTTTTTTTTATTGCCTTTCTGTGGGGCATGTGACCTTTCCTTAAATCTGGATGATTTCCTTAAGATATCTTGTGAGGTGAGTGAGACCAGCTTTAAATGGTGCAAATGGATCTAAGGATTGCTTTTCCTGGGTGTGCTTTTCCTAGAGAGCTTAAATAACCCCTCTACTAAAGGGTTTCACTTTATGAACAAGAATTGGCTGCATTTTAACTATTTTCATTCCTCAAGGTGCTCTGACTCCCTGACTGATTTGTAACTCTGGTTTGCAGGTATTTTTAATCTAAAGTTTGGTATTTAGGGCAGCTTTTTGCAAGCAAAGCTTTTTGTATTTTTGTACAGGTAACCCTTGACTTAGAACAATTCATTTAGTGACCATTCAAAGTTACAATGGCACTGAAAAAAGTGCCTTATGACCATTTTTCACACATATGTCCGTTGCAGCATCCCCACTGTCATGAGGCCAGGCGGGAAGCCTTGAGTGATGTCGAGTTGGCCATGCCCACCTAGTCACATGACCACCAAGCCACACCCAACTAAACCACGCCCATAGAACCAGTTGTTTAAAAACTTGAATCCCATCCCTGGATGTGAAGTACAGTTCAATGTACTTGAGAACATGAGGCTTAGAAAGGCTAAATTAAAAGTTTAGCCAGTTGCTTTTTTTGTTAATACTTTTCAATCAAAATTATTACATGAACCTACTGAGAGGCCTTACGATGAAGTGCTGTAGTTTTTACAGATTAGGATAATACAGAATATAGCATTTACTGAAAATGTCTGTTTCCCTCAATTCAATTATATCAAAAACACAATCAAGAACATTTTCATTTGATCTTGGTGTTATGTGGGATAAATTATGCATTCAGCCTCCTGCTTAACATTCAACTTGACAGCTAGGCTGTAGGCAAATAACTTTCCTCGTCTTTATCTTCCACTTTACATGGAACACATTTATTGTGTTGATGAGCTCATTTAAAATAGTTGACATATAGTCCCCTAATCCCTTTATTCCAAGTAAGATTAAAATAGTTCTATCACACACAATGTATTCTTTTTAAAATGTAGTTAGCCTTATTTAGTTCATCTGACATTACAGTTTAGCCAAACCTTTGTAGTATTTGATTTTCCAGTTTTTGGAGTTAGTGTTGCTGTTCTTCCATTCTTGAAATTCAGGAATGCTATAGAAAGGAATTTCTTCTTTGTTTTTAGAAACCTATGAAAAAGCCAAATATTTCATTTTGAAGAGTTAACAATATGACTAATGAATTTTAGTAAGAATATTTTCAATTGCTAAAGTTACCACTCAAACCGGTGGGGAAGCTCACCTTTACAAGGGGAGTAATGAATTCTTCTAGGAAACGATGTTTCAGAAGAGAAGGCCAATTATGGTGAATGAAATTAATCAATAAACCTTTGATATGGGAACCATCTTGATCCTATAAAATTGTTCAGAAGACAAAAATTTCATCCATTGGTGTTGAAAAAGTCAATAATCCTTACTAGCTTTATATTCTAAGGCCAATAGAAATTGATCTTCTGATTACAGCATTTTTGTCAGCTTTGCCCGTAGTGACTGTTGTCAGATGTTATACTACAATACCTATATAATTTCCCATCCAGGTGCCATTTATGGATTATGAAGTTCAACGCTTGTGAGCAAGATTGTTTTAGTGTAAAACCAGTTATGACTGTTATGTCTAACAACAGACTCCAACTGATCCACTGTAATTGATAAAGAATTATGGCCTAATTATTCCAGTCATAATCAGAATGCTGCTGTTATAGGGCATTTATACAGAAATAATGACACAATAGAAATGCTCCTTTACTAATCCACTCTAGTTATTATTAAATATTTTTGAGTGCTTGATTTCTACATTTCTGAGAGTTGGGAACGGTTTACATCAAGAAGTACTTTTTCATATGGTCCCTTTCCGGTTGCTGATGAGATTCTATTTTGCATCTTAGCTGAGAACTGAAAGAAGTTATTTTCTCTTTTTGTTTCTTTGATAGCGACTTTGTAATAAGTCTAAGGGGACCTATGTTTGTTCTTTCTTTTTCAATTAAAAAAAACCAGGGAATTCCAATACATTTGAGCAAAAGTATTTTAAAATACTTCAGTTTAAAGTAAGTTTTACACTTCCACATTACCTCAGAATATTTGAATTAGCCACTTTGTTAAGAGTTTGGGATAAATAAAAAGTAAGTTTTTCTGCAAAGATACCCCTTCAGATGTCATCCTAGGAACCTTTTTTTAAAAATAAAATAAGTGGTAGCGAAGCCAGACTGATGGACTTACAGGCAAAGAATATTTAATTATGGTGACATATAAAAAAGCTGTTTTGATTTGCAAAAAATGAACTGGAAATTCTGTTGTGTTATAACAAACATATTATTGCTAAGATTTATAAAATGGTGTTAACTTGAACTTGGAGAATGAGTATGTGAATCATTGTATGATTCAACGGGCAAAGTATTTGGATATAATACCTGAACCATAAGAAAATATGTGGTTTAGATTATAATTAAATTATAATTAATTACATTATAATTAAAAAAAAATTATAAGATGATGTACCCTTGGTAAGTAACATCTGATAAATTGTCAAGAATATATAAAACGTACCTCAAAAATGGAAATGAATCTTAATATAGAAGATATTTAAAATTAATATAAAGAAAAAGCAGAGATTTTTCATTTAGGTTTAATGGATAAAGAACTAAAAAAAAAATGGAACTTTGAAGTTATATGTTGACCTTACGCACAAAAATGGAAGGATACTTTTATTCCCACAATGGACAAATGTCTACAAAAGTTGATGAAGTTAGCAGAGATGGTTTAATTGACTGCTTTGATTAAAACAGCTTTTGGATTTTTTGTTGTAGATGGGGGAAAAAAATCCTGAAGCTTTGGTTTTGGGTTTTGCTGATTAGATAGGTTTATTGTTACTATTATTGTTAGTAGCAGCAGCAGCAAAATGTTGAGGATATGTTATTACCTTATTGTACTGAGCCAAAAAGCATCGGAAATCAATTATTTTCTTCATTTTCTCCCCTTTACTCTAGACTTTTTTCCTTTTCCCCTTCCCTATTTTCATTTTTCTTTGCATTTCTGTATTTTGATAAATAAAACATGAAATCCAGAACATCTGAATTAAGAGACATTATTATAGCCACTAAAGGCATTGGAAAAGACTGGCTAGGGGAATCCCTTTGCCTGAATGCAATACCATTGTCTCTCGCCCTACGACTGACCTGATCAGTCATGATCATGATCTTTCCATAGCGGAGGCTTTTGAGCGATTCTTCATCATCGTAGCTCTTCTTGTATTGCAGACCCATAATCTTAATAATGTTGTTAATTTCAGCATTCTCCATTATCTGAAAAAGCCCAGTATTTCCTTAGAATCACTATACAAATTTATTCCGCACACATTAAACCTGGAGAGAGGCGTTAAGTGCCCGTCACCTCAACCCACCTATTCGTTTAAAATCTATAGCACATTGCAACTCAAAGCAGCTGGCAGGATATCAGCAGATATTTCATCAAAGGGAGTAGGGATGATACTTTTAGCCTGTTTTTTGGGGGGTAGGAAGAAGTTTTTTCTATTTCAAATATTTATAGATGAAAAGAACCCAACATTTAACTGATATTTTATTACTGAATCAAAGCAGCACAACTTGGGGGATAAATCCCTCCAGGTGTTGCATATCTTACCTATTCTAATAATCACATTTCACAGTAGAGATTTATTTAGCAAAGGGGATAGTCATTATACCGGTGAAAAACGATAGCAAAACTCTTACTTCAAAAACCAATCACTGCATGGTTTTAGAAATACACCAAGTTTAAACGAGGGCTAATGCTTCAGGTTTTACACATTTTTAAAAAAAATTCAGTTCCTCAACTTACAACCATTCACTTAGTGACCAATGTTACAATGGCACTGGAAAAAGTGACTTATGGCAAAAAAAGTTGTAAAATGCGGCAGAACTCACGTAGCAACTGCTTTGATTAGCAATGGATGTTTGGGGCTCTATTGTGGTCTTAAATTACCTATAGGGATCACAGCAATGTTTGCAAAATATTGCTAACTAACCTGCTTGTGGGAGGCCTCCCGTACATTAAGAAGTTTTCCTCGCAGTGGAAATACTCCAAATTTGTCCCTACCCACAACTCCAAGGCCGGAAACAGCTAATGTCTTAGCTGAATCTCCTTCTGTCAAAATGAGAGTGCAGTTGATTGAATTCTTGCTCCCTGAAAGAGAATTAAGTATCATAAACCAGAGCTCCATTTAATAGTACACTACAGATGCTCTCCCAAGAAGCAGAGATTTCATTCATGCTTTGGTAAAAACACAGCTGAGCTGGGGTTCAGGAAAAGGAGGTGGGTAACTTTGAGGAGTTAGCACTTCCTGAGCTTGCTTGTTTTCTTGTAGATGTCTTATTATCAAACTTGGTAAGGTAATCAGTGCTAGTAAGGACTGGGATTTGCTCTCAGTGTTATATTCGAGTGGCTTGTCCTGTTAACATCGATGGGAATAGTTTTGGTTGGGCTGATTTCAACCAAGCATCTAAATTTTGATCACACGTTTGGCAGTTCTTGGTTGGGATATTGCTTGCTTCTAGTGTTGATCTTGGTGTTAATCTCTGCTCATCTGGTGGTGAGGTGTTATGATATTTTTGTTCCCTTTTTTGGTTTATTGCTTTTCCTTTGAATGATATATGGATGATATCTAATCTGGGTAATGAAACTGCTACAACAAAACATCCAAACTCAGAGAGCATCAAGGACCTCGTTTCAATCCTGAGCTACAAAAACGCTTCTCTATGGATAATTTTGTCTACAATGTAAACTGCCTCAAAGTGAAGTTTTGGTTCTTTTCTATCCACTAATCCCAAGAACCCTAATCCCCCACAAAATTATCTATGTACCACTTCTATAACTATAAACTAAATTTGAACCTTGTATTCAGGAGTTGCAGTCTTACAAAAGAGGTGAATAGCCTTCCTATAACCTGAAAGGGCAGGACAAACATTTTTAGTATTCTGTCCTGACATTTGAGAGCTTCGATTATTTTAAAGGGCACAAAAAAGGTTATTCCAGCATTCGGCCTCCTCATCTTGAAGAATTTATTGGGGTGTCAAAAAGGTAGTGTAGGGCTGTGAGTAGCTGAAGAATTACTATCCCTGTACCCATCCACTTAATTAACTAGTAAAAAACAGGAGAACTTCAGTGCTTCTAACACTTGAATGCATACCAGCATCATTGGCATCATCTAGTTTAGGAATGCCTTTAATTCGAGTGTGCTTAACAGCGGAACATTTCTTATTTAGTTGTGTCTGGGCTTTAAATTTAATCCAGTTCAAAATGCTTTCCACGATGCCGCAACCAACAGCCTAGAAAACAAAAATGAAAAATGATGTTGAAAGAATTTTGAATTGTTCCATAAGATGTCTTATTGCTGGATTAATTTATTTTTTGCTCATCAGAATTCCCAGAACAAATTATAAAGCAAACCTTTTAGTACTCACCCCCTTGATGAACTTTTCACTGAATTTGCATGTTGAACCAAAATTCTTTGTTTGAAGAGTCATATTCTCCTTAGTTTGCGAGTCAAAAGTTGGATTTTCAATCAGACTGTTTATGAATACCCACATATGATTCTTCACCTGGAGTTAAGAAAGTACATTTTTAGCAAACTGGTTGACTGCATTTCCCAAGCAACTCTCAATATAGCTGTTGAACAATGATGGACAAGAACGTCTGCCAAAAAACATGTTATCTTCAAAATTGATAGAGATGCTCAAAGTGATCAATCACTACACAGAACAAAACCAGGATTTCTAAAAGCATTATTCATTGGCTAGGTTATGCAAGGCTTTAGATTCAAAGGCACTAATGTATTTTAGGGCATGTGAGAATGCAGTGAAGTTGTCTGAAACTTTTTCAAAATTACAAATGATACATTCATTTTAGGGAATAGACAAATGTTACAAGTGTCTTCATGTGCTCCAAGGCCTCTTTTTGCCTTCAAATTTGAAGTGCTGCACAGTCCTAATAAAAGATGTATTTTGTAATTAAACCTTATGCACAAGTCAGGCTTTTTATATACCATCGTGCTCTCATTGGAACTATTCCTTTATTTGCACACCATTTTGCCCAGCCTGTATTTATTATTGGACTATATTGAGGACAGCTGGACAGAATCACTAAAGATTTAACTATTCTTTTGGAGGACTGAAAAGCATTGGAAGCATTAAACATTTCACTATGATTTTTCAATTGGAGCAAATATGAGATTGGTGAAAAAGAAACAATTGAGACTTATACCTGGAAAGGCTTTACTCCAACCCCATCTTTGTTTTTTCTCTTTACTACATCTATGAGTTTATTGACAATCTGGTCAGCAACATAGTCTACATGTCTGCCACCCTAGAAAAAAAAGTCAAATTTTTAGAGGACATTGCATGTATTTTGGCAATGCAGACACAGTAGTAACAACAAAGCAGTTGCTAGTACAGTAACCTAAAATAGAGTTAGGCTTTTATTCTGTAAAATCTGTTTGATTAGGAGTTTGCTAGACAGGTAGTCCTCAACTTATGACAATTGAGCCCAAAATTTCTGTTGCTAAGTGAAACGTTTGTTAAGTGAGTTTGCCCCATTTTACAATCTTTCTTGCCACGGTTAAGTTAATGACTGTAGTTGTTAGCCAGATTTTTAAGTGAATCTGGCTTCCCCTTTGACTTTTGGAAAGTGCAAAAGGGGATCACATGACCCTGGGACACTGCAACCATCATAAATATGAATCAAGTGCCCAAGCACCTGAATTTTAATCACATGTCCATGGGGATGCTACAACAGTCGTAACAGGGGTGGGATTCAGCCCGTTCGGGCAAACCGGATGGTACATTTACATCTGCTTCACAGAACTGGTAGTTGAACCTACTGGCTGGCCCCACCCCGCAGTCTCCATGCAGCCCGTTTTGGATGCAGGTAAGTGCAGGGCTCATTCGGAGGCTCTGGGGAAGGCAAAAAATGGCCCCCAAGGAAGGCCATGCCCACCCAGCAAACGAGCAGAGAACTGGTTGCTGGAATTTTTGAATCCCACCTCTGGTCGTAACTGTGAAAACTGGTCATAAGTCACTTTTTTCAATGCCGGTCACTAAATGAACTGTTTTAAGTTGAGGACTACTTGAATTTCTTGTTATACTCAATCATTTCTTTATTACAATTTCTTTACATTGTTAATTGTTAAAGAAAAGTTTGAGAAAAATAACTCCAACCCCCCAAAGTCTACAACTAGAGTCCATTTGCAACTAATGACCTTGAAATCATATTACATAATCTATGTATTTTAGTTCTAAACTACAGTAAGATTAGGTTTAATAAAACTCAAAATGCAGAATTGCCAAGTAAGAAAGGTTTTTCTTCACTGAATGCTTTGATAAAGTATGATTAGGTGACAGATTCAAAAAAGCCCTATAGACCTTTGTAACTGTTTACCTTAGTTGTTGCAATGCTATTGACAAAACTAACTTGTTGGAAACCCCTTTCACTCATGGTTAGACACACTTCCCACCGGTCATTAACTTTTTCATGGATTACTTTCAGTGCATTGCCAGTGTCGTCCACTTTATCTTTTATGTACATGTCTACGTAACTACGGAATCCGTTGACCTACAGAGGAGACAAAGTGCAAACATTTTTTTTTTAAAGCTCTCTTGGCTATTAACATGTTAAAAGGAAGGGACCAGTGAATTTTGCACACCAGCAGTTTCTTTTGCCCATTTTAGTAACTCACAGGTAATTTCTTTCCATTTAAGAATACTCTGATATTTGTAGCTGTTCCTGCAATATCATAGGCTCTGCGAGACATAAGAGCCACAGTATCTTTATCCAATACAGTCATTTTAAATTTGGACAGGTCAGGCTGGAAAGTAACACATGTGAAGTCCTCGCCAACAAAATGCTTCAATTTTGTCTCTCCTGCCTTAGTCATATTTTCAGTCCACGTCTGCAAAGGAATTAAGACCAATAGAATTATTAGGTACATTAGAGGGAGGATACATTTCTTCTTCTACAGCAGGGGGGTCAAACTTGTGGCCTGTAGGCCAGATGCGTGACACGCAGATCTACAAAGGGAAAAATATGTCATGTCACATGAAGCCACCCGTGTTCTACAGAATACATTTTTTAATCTAGGCTTAAAATATATGTTCCTTGCTGGCCCAAACTATCTTAATTTCATCCCTTATGCTTATCACTAAATATTTGAGATATGCTTATCAGGAAGTATTGAGATGTTGAAATGGATTCAAAATCAAATATGAAACAAATGTAGGAGCTTAAGCTTTGGGGCTGTCCCTTAAAAACAATGAAATCAAATTTTTGGTGCAGTTTCTTATACCTGTTTAAAAAGCTTCTTATATTCCTTGCATGCTGTTTCCACTGTAAATTTGGTACTGAATATATTGCACAGCTTTGCACCATAACCATTTCGACCCCCTGGAAAAATATTAATTACATATAATATTTTGTAACACTGAAGAGATATAAATTTCAGTTACAGGGTACCGATGCTTATTTATAATCCCGCACTAAAACCAATAGAATATTTCACAAATAAGCATGCACGCAGTGGTATTTGTAAAAAGAATTAAGCACTCCATATCCTTTCGCAGACAAAAATGTATGGTCGCCTTTTTGTAAAGAGAGAGCATTGCTTGCCCCTTTATTGCATTCAAAAAAAGGTGAAAGGATCAAGATGGGGGCAGTTCTCGATCTCCTCAATAAGGCAAATGGTAATATTAATATATACTATTTTAAATAATCTACATTTTCTGATCTCTTATTTAGTTACCACTCATTCCAGTGCAAGCAATAAAAAATTAGTAAGATGCTTCACTTATGTATTTTTTGTGTGAAAGAGATTGGAATATAGAAACAGAACATATATGGAATAAAGTTTTGATTTCCTGATCATTCACATCTTGCAGTTCTCTAGTAGAAACATAAATGTGAAGTTTTAGATGCAATTGTTCTCATGAGAGGCAATTAAAGATTTTTGAAAGTGACGCTTTGCAGTTTTTTCCCAACCTGTGACTTTCTTCTCATCGTCGTCATAGTTGCTGGAGGTTAAAAGATGTCCAAAAATAAGAGCTGGCACATACATTTTTTCTACTTGATGCTCAACGATAGGGATTCCTTTCCCATCATTCCACACAGAGATTGTGTTATTTTCTCTAGAAAGAGAAGATTAAACTGATATTCAAAAGTTTAATCCAAAGCAAACTTTTTGTCTCTCCAGATTAAAAAAGAAAAAAATATTATTCACTGAACAATAGGCAACTCTCAACAGCAAATTCAGTTATGCTAAATTTGATCAGAAAGTCAAATTCTATGCTAATCATTACACTATTATTTAAATCTACAAGAATACAGAGTCAGTTTCACATTCCCTTCCTAATGAACTATTCCTCAATGAAAGTCAGAAATATTAAATATTAAAGCAAGACTTACGGGTCAATTGTAACTTTAATACAAGACATATTTTCATCTCTCTGTTTATTGTCGGCTGCATTGACTAAAAGAAAGCAATACAATTTTTTAGTGGTTGGTAACATTTGCAAGTTAAAACTCTTGATTTAGTTTTCAGTTATGCAACACTTAATTTCAACAAGTTCTGCCAAACAAGACCAAGCATTTTGTACACATTTTGTTACCTATTCAAAAAGCTAATTCGTTGCAATACCGTTGTATATTATTGTTCATCAACAATGGATCTTAAAAAAAATCCCCCTAAAATGCTTGATGCCCTCACTATGAAAGCATTTTATCCATATGTCAACATACCTAGTATTTCATCGAAGATTTTATAAAGGCCAGGAACAAAGGTGACCTCCCTGCAATTCAGTCCTTCATCTTCATCAAACACCCACATTTGCTAAGAAAAAAGTAATTTTATTTATCTGCTGCAAAATCTTGAGGTACCCAGAAATATATACTATAATCAGTGTATTAATTTTAATGTTTCATAAAAGTCTGATTTGTAAAAAGCATACTTTTAAGTTTTCATAAATGTATAGCCTATTGTGTTCAGATTAATCATAAATGGTTTGTAATGAATTTTCTATATAAGAAATTGTAAACTATTTGGCTGATAAAATATAACTTGCCAACGGAAACCTTAATTATAATTTTGATAGCACATTACAAAGTACTTTGGGAATCAGGGCAACTTGTCTTTGCTGCAAACAGATATTTTTTTTTACCTGAGTTACTTGCTCCACAGATCCAATGTACGTATCAGGTCGAAGCAATATATGCTCCAATTGAGATTTCTTTTGATAGATTCTTTCAACAGATAGCCTCTTCTTTGAATTCTCATTCTTTATCTTCTTCACTTTGGGGTTCAAATCCAGAACCTCAATGGAAATAAAACAAGAAAAATTGCAAGGAGAAATTCACTGCCTGCCTAGCAGTTTGTAATAGGAACTCAGGTGGGATGGCAATACATAGAACATAAATGCCAGAGCTAAATGTTGAATGAGGCAAGGCAAATTGAAGAGTAAAGAGGTACATGTTTCTGGAGGTCAGCTCCAGATTAAACATTTTAGTTTTTCTGGGTATTACAGGGAATATACATTGTACAAAAGCAGCTTCACATCAAGTCAAAAAGTATCCAATAGTATCTTGCCAAGACAATTCTGTGTCTTGTACTGTCCACATAAAAGGTCAAATGCAGTCTTATGCTGCTGCTTCTTTCAGGGCTAATACGATTGGGTCAATAGTGATCTCCAGTTGCTCTCTGTAGGACAATACACAGGGGGAAAATGACTATTCTTAAGAGGGAGTGATTAAACATCATGCCATTTAAGATAAGATCTGCCCCCAACCTCCTTTCATTCCATAAGAGCCTAAAGTGCTGGCTCTGTAAATTGGCCTTGAGACTCAATGGGGGAGTTGTATTCTGGAGGTGCATGCTAGATTGACAGTAGGCTCCATCTCTCGCCCTGCCTCTCTAATCCACACTTGCCCATTTTGGGGAGTAATTATATCAATATATTTTCCTTCATTTCTTCTTCCTTATTATTCCATTAATTTACTTTTGTTTAACCTTCCTTCTAATTTCTTTTATTGTTGCAAGCTGCCTAGCATAGCCCTAGGGCGAGATAGGCAGCAAATTGAGTTAATAATAATTAACTGCAACACTAAAGCTGATCAGGAATGAAGGCGAATATACAGAATAATATTGCAGGAGCCAATCTGGGTTGGTCACAGGGACCAAAGGTTTTGTATTTCTGAGATTTCAGATTCATGCTGGACCCCATCTTCAGGGAACTCTAAGGGTTCCATTATGAGTCCGAAAGATCCTGCACCTAAAGCTGATGTTCAATTGTATCTAGCTGTCTTAAAAGACTCCTGGTTGATTTAGCATGCTTGTAGTTTATCTGTGCCTCCATGTAGCATAGGTGGCAAGTTGATTGCCTCCCACTTGGAAACTTCTTGTCTGCTAGCCGATTGTGATCAAATTATTCCCCTTTCTAAAATGTAATTCACCCCGTCTCGTAAAAGATTTCCATTCCTTTAATGGAACCAATTCTGTTAGAAGCCAGACCTGAGACTTTAGTTGTACAAGGTGCAATGATAATAAAGCAAACTAAACTAAACTAGTTTCCTTCCAAAAATATTAGAAGTTTGAAATCTCCTTTCACTTACCAGGAGAGGTGGAGTTAACAGTTTCAGGTTGACCAAATCTTTTGTAGTAGGACATACAAATTTTGTCAATTGTAAAATAGGCTTAAATACTGTGCGTATACATATTCAGAAAGCAAACTCAGTTCCATTCATAAATTCAAAGTGACCCAAGAGAATATGCAACACCTCCATCAAATGATATTGCTTAATAGATGGGATTTTAAGGGGCAAGTAGAAAAAAGTAGCTCTTTAGGAAGCCCACAGAAGGTGAACTGATACCAGTGCATCTTACTTAGCAGAAATGTTGCATAGGTATAATGAGGTGTGCCCATAATGCTCATACTAATGTATTCTGGACTAGCTGTAGTTTCTTAGTGATCTTTAAGTGTAGCCCCATGTGGAATGCATTGCGACAATCCACATGCAAGGGTGGCCAAGACATGGGTAACTATGAAGTAGGGTACCTTTCTTTAGGAAAGGGTGCAACTGGCACATAAGATAAATTTGGGCAAAAGTCTAGCTGTTATTGCTCAATATAAGCTTTTCCCTTCATCAGAACTATTAACTCTGTAGTTTATGAGGCTTTTTAACTTTTCTATTTCAACGGATGTAGCCCAGATATGATGACCTGGATCCAACCTATAACATTCAGGTCAGCATCCCTTAAACCAGTGGTAGTCAACCTGGTCTCTACCACCCACTAGTGGGCGTTCCAGCTTTCATGGTGGGCGGTAGGGGTTTGTGCCCTACTACTTTATAAATCACCATTACTGTGGAACCGGTGGGTGGTTAGAGAACATTTTACGGCTAACACAGATACAAAAGTGGGCAGTAGGTATAAAAAGGTTGACCACCCCTGCCTTATAAACCATGGGTCTCCAACCTTGGCAACTTTAAGCCTGGTGGACTTCCTGCTGGGGAATTCTGGGAGTTGAAGTCCACCAGGTTTAAACTTGCCAAGGTTGGAGACCCCTGCTTTAAACCAATCATTCACGAGGGATACTGACGATAATGTCAATACAGGTCAAGCGAACCACCGTGGGAGGATTCCGATGCCAACCAGTTTCAAGGTCAACCAAAACAAACAAAAGGGAGAAAATCGCGTCAGAAAGGGATGCTTTCTAAATTGCGTGGAGACACAATGAGAGAAGAAAGGAAGAGGCCCAGGGTACACCGAATGGCTTACCTTGAGTGGTGAGGAGCAATCGAGATCCATAGCGGCTGCAGAAGTGAGAAGAAAAGCCGATAGGCGAAAAGGTCAAACCAAGGCAGAAAGCGTCAGGTGCTGGCTGAGGCGGGGGCGGGGGGGGGGCGGGGGGAAGAGTTAAGGCTTGCGACGAGAAGAGCCGCGGCCGTTGCCTCGCGACAGCCGTTCTCCGGACCAACTGCTCTCGTGCACTCTGCCCACCCAACGTTCGAGAGCCGAAGAATCACAAGTAACACCGCTTCCAGTTGAATCGAGATTCAAAAAACCCGATTCAACCCGCCAAAACGCTTCTCACCAATGAACGGAGGAGGTTTGGAAGCCTGGCCAATCCTTGCGGGAGACAAGGAGCCGAACGAAAGAGGGGGAGGGACGTTTACCCAGCCAGTAGAGACCACGCTAGAACATTCAAAAACCCATTTTTTTTAAAAAAAAGTAGAGTTCCTGTGTAAGCGAAGGCGGATACTTCGCCGTTTGTGATAGTTTAGAGCGCTTATTGGCGTTCCTATGGGCCAATAGGAGCCTGGTGCTGCACCAATGCCTTGCGTGAGACTTTGTTTGCAAATTAACCGCCCTAGGTAATGTTTAAATATATGTTCTGTTCTCACGTGTAAAATACTCCCCCCCCCCCATACTTGAGGCAGCGATTATCTAAAGTTAGTAATCTAGGGGTGTAAAGAGAAGATTGGTCTTTGAAAAAGGACCACAACCAACTATATTTATTAATTAAACAACCAATCGAATCAATAGCAAGCAGCGTTAATTTTAATGTTTTACTACTTCCGTAGTGGGACCCTTTGGTTCGTTCCATCCGGTCTATCTCACTTGCTGTCTTTTATATTTTATATTTTTTGATTTTAGTTTGTTGTGAACTGCCCGATTGCGAGTTGGGTGGCATACAAGTTTAAATAAATAATTCTTATGGAAATTTTTTTTGTTACGCCTTCATGATTGGAGCAATGCCTAAAGGACTCCTTTGATATTGGAACATTTTGAATTTTTCTTCCAATTCTTCCAATTAAAGAAAAACCTGCTATATTTTTTGGCATTACCGTAATAACTCTCAAGCCTGGTTAGGACCTGAATTATTAGCCTGTCACCAGACTTAGAATGTGGATTTAGTTGTGGATTAATTGATTAATTTTAAATTAGTGCTTTTGAAGCAGGTTAACTTATTTTCCAAAGCACTAGAAGGCAAGACAAGAAACAATGGATGTAAACAGCCTAGAACTAAGGAAAAACTTCCTAACAGTTTGCCTTCAGAAATTGTAGGTGTTTCATCACTGAAGATTTTTAAGCAAAGACTGGACAGCCACCTGTCTGAAATGTCCTTGGCTTATAAATAATTACCTAGCAAATGTTCAGAATTACAATGCATCTCCTGAGGGCTATATGCACACACTCGTGATTTACATTTTTTTGTTGGAAACTGGTGTTTACTTCCGATTTTTGGCAAAAAAATACCTGTTATGGATAGTGAATTTGCTTAACGATTGTGACATTCATTTGATGACTGCTGCAAAAAGTCAATGAAGCTGGGAATGATCAGCAGAAAAGATGGAACGGGCCGCCCTCGACACTATAAAGCAGGGGTCTTCAAACTTGGCAGCTTTAAGACTTGTGGACTTCAACTCCCAGAATTCCTCTTCCAGTCATGTTAGCTCAGGAATTCTGGGAGTTGAAGTCCACAAGTCTTAAACTTGCCAAGTCTGAAGACCTTTGCTATAAAGCATGACCATAAGAGAATGACATAATTGGAAGGAACCAACTCTGATCCCATCTCAGGCAGGAAATAAACGATTGTCCGATCTCTTCTTAAAAACCTCCAGTGTTGGAGGACCCACAATTTCTGGAGGCAAGTTGTTCCACTGATTAATTGTTCTAACTGTCAGGAAATGTCTTCTTAGTTCTAGGTTGGTTTTCTCCTTGATTAATTTCCATGTTGCTTTTTGTCCTGTCTTCAGGTTCTTTGGAAAATAGGTTGACCTTTTCTTTGTGGCAGCCCCTTGGATATTGGAACATTGCTTTCATATCACTCCGAGACATTCTGTTTGTTAAACTAAACATACACTATTCCTGCAACCATTCTTCGGTCTCCTAACCATCTTTATTACTCTTCTCTGCAGTCTTTCTAGATCTCAACATCTTTTTTATATTGTGATGACCAAAACCATATTCTAAATGTGGTTTTATGAAGGCATTTTTAAGTGTGTTAACACTTTGCATGATCTTGATTCTATGCCTTTGTTAATTCAGGCCTATGCATTAGCATAGGACTCAATATCCTTCTTGCAGTTACTGTTATTGAACCAAGTAGCACCTATTCCATACCTGTGCATTTGGTTTTTATTGCATAAATGTAGAACTTTACTTTTCTCATCACTAAACTTCATTTTTTAAAGTTAGAGCTCAGTGTTCAAGTTTATCAAGATCCTTCTATATCTTCAGCCTGTCTTCTGGAGTATTGGCTAGTTCTGCCAGTTTGGTTCTGTCTGTAGTTCTCCTTCTATCCCCTTATCTAAATCATTGATGAAGATTTTGAAGAGTACTTGAGGTGCCCCCCTTCATACTTCCCTCCATGTAGGTGTAGTTCCATTAAGAAACTAGTCAGTCAGCTGACTGACAAATTCATGTGGTAGTTATTCTGTTTAACTCACATTTTTCTCTCTTATCAAGTAGTAGGTTGTGGTCTGCTTTATCAAATGCTTTACTGTAGTCCAAGCAAATTATAGTCACAACATTTCATTACTCCAGTAATTTTGTCACTTTGTCAAAGAATGGAATATGGTTTGTCTGGCATGATCTGTTTTTGACCAACTCACATTGGCTTCTGGTTATGACTTTATTTGCCTCTAGGCATTTGCAGATTTGTTGCTTGATTAGAAGAATTGGTGATTAGTAGAAATGGTGGTAGACTTTAGAAGAAACTATTCTATACTACCACCTCTTACAATACTAGATACAATACATAGTACTTACAATACATAGTATCAAAGGTAGAGACCTTCAAATTTCTAGGTTCTACTATATCACATGACCTAAAATGGACACCTAACATCAAAAACATCATCAAAAAAGCACAACAAAGAATGTTCTTTCTGCACCAACTCAGAAAGCTCAAACTGCCCAAGGAGCTGCTGATACAGTTCTACAGAGGAATTATTGTGTCTATCCTCTGCACCTCTATAATCGTCTGCTTTGGTTCTGCAACCCAACAGGACAGACACAGACTTCAGAGGATAATTAGGACTGCAGAAAAAACAATTACTACCCACCTGCCTTCTATTGAGGAACTGTATATTGCACGAGTCAAAAAGAGGGCTGTGAAAATATTTACAGACCCCTCACATCTCAGACATAATTTGTTTTAACTCCTACCCTCAAAACAACGCTATAGAGCCCTGCACACCAGAACAACTAGACACAAGAACAGTTTTTCCTGAAAGCCATCATTCTGCTAAACAAATAATTCCCTTTACACTGTTCAACTATTTACAAAGTGTACACTACTATTACCGTTAATCTTCTCACCACTCCTTATTACCCATCCCCTCCCACTTGACTGTTTCCTAGTGTGATTTGATTGTTGCTTGTACCCTATGACTAAGTGTTGTACGTTATGATTCTTGATTCTTAATTAATGTATCTTTTCTTTATGTATACTGAGAGTATTTATACCAAGACAAATTCCTTGTGTGTCCAATCACACTTGGCCAAAAAAGTATTCTATTAACTTTTCCAGAATCTTTCCAGATAATAGATGTCAGGTTCATAGGCCTGTAGTTTCCTGGATCTATTTCCCACCACTTCATATTCCATCAGATCCATGGTAGACCTGAATGAGGAAATGTGAGACTGAGGGGCATGGAGAGTGCTCATCCATAGGGAGACTGTGGTCGGACATGACTGAATGGCTGATAATGATAACAACATAAGAAAGTTTGTAAAAACAGACACAATCACAGGGTGACCTGCTTATTGACCAGCATAACTTGGGACCATAATTCTGGCTTCAATTATGGTCTTAGATCAAGGGCTTCCTGAACTTGTTAATGAATAAAGGAGTGGTGTCATGCATCTTTCAAAATGATGCCCCTGCCAAGTAATTATAAGAACAATATAACATAAATACATGTATAATAAGATATTTTGCCTGACTATTCTAAAGTTTAAATCATGTGGCAAGAGGAGGTAAAAAGGGGAACAAAAACATTCGAAATCTGATGATTTCAAAGAACTTACAGTAAATATGACAAAGCTTGTATCTAATCCCCAATAATATTTGAGAAGAATAGGTGGAATGCAGCATCAAATCGTCACTCAGAAATGACATTTCCTTACATGTCTGACTGGACTAACGTTTTCTCAATATTGTTGCAGTTTGTACAACTACAGTGGTTTACCATTCAGGAGAAGACAGTACATTCTGATAATCTGGCATTCATTTAAGTCTTTGACTTACAAAGTCCACTTGTAAATGAATAATTGAGTTTGGCAATTAGGGCCATAAGTTGTGATGGTCATAAAATGGGTTGTCACACAAACAATACAATTTTATATATTTTTTCCAGTGGTTATACTGATCATTAAGTGAACCCATTGCTATGGGCTGATTCTTGTTGGAAACAGGAAATAAATCTTGGTTTCCAGCAAAATTTTTGTAATTTACAGCCATGTGGGATGCTGCAAATGGTCATAAGTGTGGGCTGGTTGCCAAGCGCCCAAAATATGATCACATGACAGTGGAGGATAGGTGGATGGCCATCAAAGCTTTGGAATTAGGTTGTAAGTAACTTTTGGGATGTCTATTTTAATTTAAACAATTGCTAAGCAATTGGTCATAAATTAAGGACTACCTGTAATCCCAAATAGGAATCTTTTTTGTCATTATTTTTTTAAAAATTTATCAGAATATGCAGATTACAGCTCCAAAGTTGCATATTCGGTCTCCAAACCAATTGTGCCTTTGGAGTTCCTCTGATTGCCAAAACCTGTGGCATGGTTTCCTACCAATTTGAAGCATAAAAAGATATGAAAACACAATAGAAACCAGAAAAACTCAAATCGCTCCCAAACTGAAACAGAGTAACACGTGATAAGGTCCTATATTTAGCGGCCTTTGCTGCTGTCTGCTTAAAAATCCCCACATATGTCATATGTTCATAATAGGAGAGCCGCGAATTTAACAATAGATTTAG